GAAGGAACTGTTTGGCTTCTGCCTTCAGATCGTTCAGCAGAAGGATTTTCTCCTGTTCAATGTGGTTGAAGGACCAAACCAATCCAGAAGAGATAGCATAGTGTAATGGTTTGAGCATTTGATACTGGGAGACCAAGGGTCGGATCCCCACGCGGCCATGGAAAACCACTGGGTGACCTTGGGCAAGTCATACTCTCTCAGCCTCAGAGGAATCATAGAGCTGGAAGAGACCACAAGGGCCACCCAGTCCAACCCCCGGCCATGCAGGAATTCACTATCAAAGCATCCCTGATAGATGGCCATCCAGCCTCTGTTTGAAAACCTTCAAAGTAAGCTCTACTACTCTCCGAGGGAGTGTGTTCTTCTATGAATAGTTCTTACTGTCAGGAAGTTCTTCCTAATGTTGAGGTGGAATCTCTTTTCCTCCAATTTGAACCCATAGCTCCTGGTCCTAATCTCTGGAGCAGCAGCAAACAAGCTTGTTCCCTCCTCGATATGACGCCCCTTCAAATATTTAAACACGGCTCTCATATCACCTCTCAGCCTTCTCTTCTCCAGGCTAAACATCCCCAGCTCCCTAAGTCTCTCCTCATAGGGAGGGCTTCATGGTTTCCAGACCCTTCACCATTTTGGTGGTCCTCCTCTGGACACGCTCCAGCTTCTCCACATCCTTTTTGAATTGTGGTGCCCAGAAGGCAAGGGCAAACTCTCTCTGAACAAATATTGCCAAGAAAACCCTGTAATAGGCTCGCCTTGGAGTCAGAAATGACTTGAAGGAACACCTCAACACACAGTTCAGAGGAAGGAACTGGCAAAACCACCCCTGAGTGCTCCTAAGATAACCCTAAGACATTTATAAGGTCGCCGCAAGTGACTTGAAGACACACACGCCTGAGTATTGGATCTATGGCAGGAAACTTCGTATACAAATATTTCACAGCTCAGTCCTAGCCTAAACACGCCTTTAAAAAAAAATCGATTTCAAAGGCGCAGGAATGTTGTTATTGTTGTTGTGTGCCTTCAAGCCGTTTCTGACTTATGGAGACCCTAAGGCAAAGCTGAAATGGGGTTTCCTTGGCCAGATTTATTCAGAGGAGGTTTGCTCTTGTCTTCCCCTGAGGCTGAGAGCATGTGACTTGCTCAAGGGCACCCATTGAGTTTCATGGCTGACCTGGGAATCGAACCCTGGACCCCAGAGTCGTCGTCCAAGCCCCCAGGCACTACTGAAATGTAAGGGCTCCCTGTACTTTGTCCGGCCCAAGGTGTTTGCTGTCCTTATGTGCCCTCAAGTCGTTTCTCACTTATGGCGACCCTGCCATGGGGTTTTCTTGGCAAGTTTCTTCAGAGGGGCTTTGCCATTGCCATCCTCTGAGGCTGAGAGAGTGTGACGTGCCAGTAGATTTCCATGATCGAGCTGGGATTCGAACCTTGGTCTCCAGAGTCCAGCTCTTAAGGTGTGCGGGTATGGGTTTCTCTTATTTATTTCTGCTTCAGTCCCTTCCTCTTCTCTCCCTCTGACTCCCTTCCTCTCCTTTTCTATTTGTTTCTCATGGAGAAAATATGCCGAAGTCAAAGTTCACGGAGTTTTTGCTCAGTATGTTGTAATAAAACCGAAAGGCAGGCAGGCAGGC